GAAGTTCTCAATTTAAAGGCCTATAGAGACATGTGAGCTCAACCTCACTGCTTTTCAGATTCCTGATGGGGAACATCCTAGCAGCTCCCAGGCTTGGCTTGTCTAGTTACATTTAGGATCCATATATATTTTATTTTAAAGGCAGACTACAGCAGGTGTAAAGACTCTTACATGTATCTAGATCCCAGACATGCTTTTGTTCTAAAGTTTCACTCAAATCGAGCAGTCATATACAAATTATGTGGCCCCTACTGGTCAGGTGATATAGCATCAGGATGCTCAGTTGGTGGCTGGTACTCTGCCCTCTCCCATCCCTGATCCCTGAGTCCACGCAATAGGAAGGTGGAGGATTTTGCACTTGGAGGGCTGATCTTGTTGGGTGTAGTTGGTAGAGTTGAGAGGCTGGAGGGAGAGAGAAGTATTGGTTCTTTCAGGCAGCTTGTGAGGAAGCTTAAAGCCTGAAAGAAAGTGGTTGCATAACACTCATAGATCTTTCCCCAGTCTCCAGAGGACCCCTCTTGTTCAGGCATAGAGCTTACCTTTATATCTCTGTCTCCAGATACTCTATTTGCCAGAAGATGTAGCGTTCTTAGAGACGATAAGACTTTTGATTTGGGAGAATAGCCAGGGACCCTGGGACACTTTTCACTTCCCCCACATGACATTCCTTGTCTCTACTCCCAGGGATCCAATGTGTCTGTGTTTCATGGTTTTGTGACTTTCTTGTAGGGAACTGGACTGTCATGTTATGTAAGTGAGTAGTTATGCTTACCTAGATAAGAGAAACAATGTTTCTGGGCTTCCCTGGAAGAAAAAATCTTATTATTTGGCTTGCTTCTTCACTGCCAGTTTGGGACCCAGGATATGGGTAAGATAAGTCTGAAGAACTGGGAGGAAGCTCTGACTTGTTCATCCTTGGGCATCATTACCTCACACCCCGGCTCACCCTCACCTTAGCCTACAGGAGAACTACATGTCTGTTGGTGCTCAGCAAGGTTGTACTGGTGTGTGTGTGTGTGGGGGGAGTGAAGAGTACGCAACAATGTGAGGGGCAGATGGATTCCCGAGTGAATGTGTATTGCTGACACATGGACACGGTCGTGTCAAGGATCCCAGTGCCTCAGACTTACAGGAATGGCCAGGATTTCCCTGGTCAGGGTAGGGATGTTGACAGTGTATAGAAAGTTATCAATCAACTTCCTCCTTCCAGATGACTGACTCCTGAGACTGCTCCCTACTGAGGTTAGCTAGCCTGCGCTCTCCTTAAACTGCATACAGTAAACTCACCAAGTTTCAGGGCACCCAGTGTGTCTAAGTCAGAGCACATAGCCCACACGATCCCAGCTTTTATGTACATATGTCTATCATTTCTTCATTGCTGTTCTAATTACGTCAATCCTAAAGCCCTGTGGTTCATGGTAGAAAGAAAATAAGGAGAGGCTGGGATAGAAAACACACTGACTTATCCCTCCACCTCTGGCGTAGGTGTTAGCAGCTACCAACTTCCTAGTCTCGAAGACCTCATCCGCTCCATATATCATTGGATTCTTTTCCCAGATATCATTGGATTCTTTTCCTTCCCCAGTCAGTGATCAACTGCAGCTCAGTCCCATAAAATCGGCCATTGTCTGCCCTTAGGGAGTGCTTGTTACTGACTCTCAGACATCAAGTTAAAGTTAGAAGCACCTGGTTCCCACTTTCCAGCATGAAAGCTGGTAGGAGCTGATGTGGGGTGGTGTGTTTCCTGCCAAAGTCAAACAGACTGACTTCCCACTGACCTACATTTCGTGTATTGAGTAGAGTTCAAGGAGCATTCTGACCCCTCCTCAGATCATTTGAGCTTTTTGATGTAGCAGGAAGTAATTTCTTTCTTCCAGGCCAAGGACACTTAGTACAGAGATATAGAGAGAACTTGGCTCCACATCAGAAATAGAGTATCTTTTGGAGGATCAGTTTAGTCATTGTCTCAGATCTAGGAACTGGAACTCAAGCCATTTGCACATTTTAATGCAGAGAATTAAACAAGTGTGTGTGTGTGTGTGTGTCTGTGTGTGTGTGTTACATAAAATAAATTCTCCCTGTCAAAGAGTCACATATTCTAAACTTAAAGTCCCCCTTGACAGCCCTCCTTGTTCTGCCTCTCCCCCAGCAACTACCATTTCAGCCCAGTCAATACCCTTCCAGCTCTGCTTTAGAAGCACGTGGTTAATGCTGCAGATGTGCTGGGCCTTCCATTCCATGTAAACACTCTTTCTCTGTCTTTGTGTGATTTGCCCTTTTCTACCAATGATGTGTCTGCATCTTGCTTCCAGTTGCTTTTGTTAAGTATTTATAGACAACACATCTAAGAGTGTTCTTGAAGGAACAGCAAATAGTGAGTGGAATTCTGAACTACTGGTCATTTAACAAAGCTAGGCACTGCCAGTGCTTTTCTTGGAAGAGCCACACACATAGATTATTCGGAATCTGGCTTCCTCATAAGGTGAAATGTCATTACAGGTGACCACTGGACCTGAAAAGGGCAGATGGATTGTGTCACTGAACCAAGAAATGGGGGGTTGTTCTTGGGCTATGGAGTCACCTCTATGTCACTCACAACAGCTCTCTGTTATACAATAGGTGGCATTTGGGTGCCTGCTCCTAACAATGGTTCCATTTTTGCACTGATATTCTGAAACTAGGAGATGTGAGAGCTGCCCTCCTTTCTCTGTCTATGCTTCAGGGGCTGGAGATAAGGAAAATGGGTGTTGGAAGCAAGCTTCTGAGCACTGGCATCTCAGTGCTTTAGTTACTGTTATCTTGTATCTGATAGCTTGATTCATTCACATGACCAAAAAGATTAAACCATATAGAAAGAATAGAGAGGCTTTTATTCCTATGCCTGCTCGGGTATGTCTTATTTCCTGGATCTTCTCAGTGATTTTATTGGTTTCTTAAATATCCTCTAGAAATTTCAGAAAAATATGAGCACAATAGGTGGTTTTGCTTTTCCCCCCTTTTCTCTCTGTTATCTGCCGCTTCAGGCCTGGCTTTTCTGCACGTTTTAGAGGGAGTTCCACATTGGTGCAGAGAGCCAGGTCTTTCCCCACTCTTCAGTTCTGTCTCAGAGTCCTTTTTTTAAAAAAGATTTTATTTATTTATTATGTATACAACACTCCATGTATGCCTGCATGCCAGAAGAGGGCACCAGATCTCATTACAGATGGTTGTGAGCCACCATGTGGTTGCCAGGAATTGAACTCAGGACCTCCAGAATATCAGCCAGCGTTCTTACCCTCTGAGTCATCTCTCCAGCCCCATGTCTCAGAGTCTTTAACCGGTCTTTGGTTGATACCGAGTTAGTTGCAATTATTACAAGTGATCTCTTGAAATGGACAACTCTGATTCTGTATCATTTCATATAGGCCATATAAATTCATGGGCTGCGTCCTCAGTAGTAAGATTTCTGGGACAAAGCGAAGTACATTTGTGGCTGTCAGTCATCATCACATTCCCTCCCATAGATGTCATACTTTCATGTATAATATTTAACAGTGGAGTTTCCCTGCAGTTTCGACAACAGGGCGTGTGAAACCTTTGATTTTTGTCTCCCAGATAGGAACATATGAGTATCTCGAGGTACTTTTAGGTTGACTTTCTTCTAATGAGTAACGTTGAGTAACCCTTGCTCTGCTCAGGCTCTGATGACATTTCCCTTTTTTGTAATAACCCTCTGAGTTTATTGTTTTGTTGGATACTCATTATATTCGTCCTCTAATGTTTTGAAGAAGCTCTTTGTATGTTCAGGAAACTATCCCTTTATTTGGGATGAAGTACACTTTTCTCTTTCTATAGTTTGTTTTGTGTTTTGACTTTGCTTTTGGTTATTCTCGATTTTATTTGCACATCATTCATTCTCATATCCCAGCGTCTTTGTTCACTTGGGGCCCTGTACCTGATGTGTCTTTTTTTCTCATTTTCTACTTGTCCTTGTTCCTTTAGATACGGTGCAAAAGTCACTCTCCTTGACTTGTCATCTCTCCTGCCAGACCATGTAGCTCCTTCCCAGCTACTCCTTTATACTTCATCTTCTCTCTTTCTTGCCTTAATTTTACATCTGTCTGTCTATCTATTCATCCTTCCATTCTTCTACCCACCTATCTCCTGTGTAAGTAGTAATACTTAGCTTATTCATCTCTCTACTAGGAGTTCAAGCATTTGTTTAACAGATGTCTGGATTAAATAACTAGACAAGTCAGCTGCTACCACTAACCCTTAGTCTCTTTAAAGTCTCAGCTGAACTTATTTTTCTGATCAGTTATGTGCAATGAAAATCCTGTGTGTGTGTGTGTGTGTGTGTGTGTGTGTATGCTCGTGTACGTGCGCTAAGGTGTGGGGGTGGAGACTAAAGATCAAAATCAGTTATCTTCCTCAATTGCTTCCCACCTTGAGTTTTGAGACAGAGCCCCTCACTGAATGTGGAACCCACTAGACTAACTGGCTAGAAGCCCCAGGGATCCTCCTGTTCCAACATCTCCAGATTATAAGCGTGTGCCACCATGTCAGGGTTTTATATGGATGTTGGAGATCTTATTCACACCCTCATGCTTGCATGGTAAAACATTTTACTCATTGAGCCATCTCCCCAGCCTTTGAATAGACTTTAGAAAGAAAGAAAGAAAATAAAAAAGAAAAGAAGGAAGGAAGGAAAGAAGGCAGGAAAGGAAGAAGCTGAGAGGGTGAGAAGGTTTATATTTGTGGTCAAGGATGTGTCCCTCAGCTGTGAGGAATGGGCTTCTTGACCTCCAGTGAAAATTCCCATGGACCAGTTTACTTTTCTCTTTCTGTGTAAACTCCAATAGAACTCAATAATCAGGCTGAAAGATTTTTTGTTTTAGTGAAATTTATTTCATACTCATCAAAGTAATGCACTAATGTTTCATTCATAAATATTCTCATCTGCATAATACAAGCCTATTTATTCTCAGCTTCAATGAAAGAACTCAGTTCAGGCCATGCACTGGATTCAAATTCAATTTATTCCATAAACATTGAAAACTGGAATCTTCTGTAGGCATGCCTCATATTCCCCTCAATTAAGTTAAATAGATCAATCAATAAATACATAAATAAACAGATAAGTGGTTGTCCATCAGAGACCAGGAAGAAGAGACAGAACAGAATGTGCCATGGTTTCTGTCAAGGTGTCTCTGAAAACACAGGAAGTGTGGAGTCCTGGCTTGGCAGAGGACTAATGATTCCCCTGGACACAGAGCTGTCCCCTCATTGGTGACAATGGAGTTCCTTAACATGTTCTGGGGAGGGCATTAGAAGTAGTTCAGCCTATTCTTCGTGTGTCAGCATTAGGGCCTGAAGCTTCACACATGGGCCTCCTAGGAAGAAACGGATTCCATGGTGAAGTCAACTAAATCCTGGCCGCTGTTGTTCCCCAGGAAGACAGGCTTGTGTTCTGCTTGAGAGGTGCTGATGTACCAGTTGGGGAACTGCGCAGACTCAAACTCCACCTTGGTTTTGACTTCTATTTTGTTGAAGACAAACCGCTTTTCCATCTTCTTCTTTGGGTATTGTTTGGGGTCCACACTCTGCAGAAAAAATAGAAAGAAGAGTTTTATGTGTGTGAGACAGAAAGGATAAAGCTACCACAGTAGTCATGTTCTCAGGCTGCTGGAGAGGAGATTGGTGAGCAGGTTGGGGGGCTAGGGGCTGCATTCTTTCTAACTAGGGGCTGGACCCCATCTTTCTAACTAATTGAAGGAGCCATTTGTTTTCTCTGAATCCTAAGCTTGAGGGGAGGATCATATGGGTAGAAATATTTTTAAAAATGAAAATTATAATAAATCTTCTAAGAATAACTAGTTTCTGGGTATTTTTGTCACATTTTTTCCCTAAACCCTGAATGGCATCAGCTTGAGAATGAAACTTTTGGTAGAAATGTTACAAGAGATGGGCATTAATTCCCTTGGGACTGCTGGCGAATCACTTTGATTGGGTAGTTCTCCAAACTGTCCTCCGCCAAATGAGGAAAAAGCTGTAGTCATATGCAATCCTTTCATCCTTAACACTGTATGATATATTGTTGCCTATAACTATGGCAGGGCATGATAAGAACAGCAAAATGGCTTAATTTCTCCCATGGAGGGAGTGAGGTTACATGCATTTAAAAGTTATGCTAGTTTTATTCTATATTAATTTCTCCCATGGAGGGAGTGAGGCTTACATGCATTTAAAAGTTATGCTAGTTTTATTCTATATTAAGACCTCTGACATTTTCTGGAGGGCAGGGCAGGAGGATGTCTGGGAAGTACGGATTAGCTGAGAGTCTTAAGAGGACAAGGGGATGGCTTCTCAGCTGTCACTCACCTCCAGCTGCAGGGTGGGCGTGTCACCTTTCATGACACAGGACAGGTACAGGTTCTTTCCCTTTAGGCCCAGGGCCACAGGTATCTTGTTGTTGCTTGTTTCTCCCTGTACAAAGCTCATGGAGAACACCACTGGAAGAAGGAGAGCAAACTGGGTCAGGGATACAGCAGTGCTGGGCGGACTCAAACTCGGGACTTGACAGGCAAAGCCCACATAGTCAGTACTCTGTGGGAGCCCAGAAGGAGCTTCCACAGGCACAGAATGGGCTAGCAGGGCCTCTCATAGACAGTACTGAGGTCGGGCAACTGAGTCAGGATCCACTCAGAACCTCTTAGTAGCAGCAACGAAGAATGAAAGGGGTCTCATCTAAGCTCTAAGGGATAAAGCTCTTATGTCACTGGTGGGCTGTGTGCCCATTAGCTTGAGAAGCACAATTGGTCACTATGAAACCAGGTAAAGCTATATGCTCCTAGAAGGACTCAGGGGATGGCACTTTTTGAGGCATTCGCAACAGCAAGTGGGAACAACTGGCTTAGCTGGGGACAGTGGCTTCAAAAAGAGACACCCATTTTGATCTTAGTCACAGCAATCTCAATCAGAGGCTCCTGGCCACTGTCACGGCTCAGTTATAAAGAGCAGACAGCTCCTTTCAAGGCTTCTAAGATGAGAAGCCAAGGAGAAGCACTGCTGCTGCTGTCAGCTGTTGCCCTTTTGGCCACAGTGGCGTGGGGCCAGGTCCATCCCTACGTCTAAAGACACCCTCGCCACACTTGAAACACTTGTTACTATCAAGGAGAGATGTAAGTTCCTGATGGTCTGTAAATCTCCCTGTAGAAACCCTGTGGTATTGGGTGGGAAGGATGTCAGGGCAAGGGACAGCATTGCGAACAAAAATGGACATATCAGTTCTCTACCAACCACATTTCAGCCTCAAAATGAGGGGAAAAGAGCCCACAGGCAGTTGTGGCATGCCCATCAAATGACTCCACACTAATGGAGCATTGGCAATGTGATACCCTATATTATGTATGTATGTATGTATGTATGTATGTATGTATGTATGTATATATATGTATGTATAGTTGCAGTAGTGTTCCATCTTAAAACACAAAGGTCTAGTAAGCCTCCAGGAGGCCAGGAAGGGAAACCAAGTGTGCCTAGTTACCTTGTTGGTTTATGTTCTGTCCGTTGAGATGGAGAGCTTTCAGCTCACAGGGGTCAGACAGCACGAGGCATTTCTGTTGTTCATCTCGGAGCCTGCAGTGCAGCTGTCGAATGGGAGCATCAGCCACGATCAGCTCACCATCCCAGGAGTCACAGAAGATGGGCTCTGAAAGTGAAAGAAAGGATGTTGTTTAGGTAGACAATTAGAAGAGCAAGTCCAGCGAAGCAAAGCAGCAGAATTTGGCCTATTGAGTGGCATCTAAGCATCCAGAGTCAAGGTTCTAGTCTATTTTTTGTGGGGTATAAAGAAATTGGAAGTGGGGTGATCTGGCATCATGAGACAACCTTCAGTGTTATCACCATTTGCTATGGACTAGCAGTAGTGGTACTTACAGAAAATGTTGCCAGTAATAAGATTAGCTCACCAGGGACATTGTGCGACTTCAAGCTTCAAAGTTTTTGGAGAATGAATGGTCCAGTTGCGAATGTGAGCATCATTAAAACCTTCTTTTAAGCTAATCAGCTCAAGATCTAACTAATTCATTTTGGAGGTTTCTTTGCTTCCTTCAAAGGGTTGAAATGGCTACCATTAAGGGACTTCCACTTAAGGAGGAAAGTGACTGCTAAGAGGTGGACAGAGAAGGAACAGAGAGAAGGTCTACTGTCAGCCATTAGTGCTCATCAAATACCTTCTTCAAAGATGAAGGAAAAGAAGGTTCTCAGGTCCTCATCCTGGAAGGTCCACGGGCAAGGGACAGGGGTGTTCCACAGCTTCTCCACAGCCACAATGACTGACACCACCTGCCGGAAGCTCTTGTTGAGGTCCTGCTTGGAGATTTGAAGCTGGATGCTCTCATCTGGATAGCTCAGGTCAAGGCTTTGGAAACAGCTCTGTGGAGAAACCAGGAGGAGAGCACATTAGGTCATCCTTCATTAGTCCCAGAGAACTCCAGGGGCCTGGGAGATAACTAAGCTCTTAACCACAATTCCTGCATCTCTGGAGCCCAGAGGACTTAAGTGGTTTACCCGGGGGCACATGGCAACCAGACACAAGCTTCCTGGCATCTCTATCCTAAACCCCCTTGACACTTTATCTTTCTTGTACAAACCTCTCTCACCATATAACTACAGCCACTTAAACCTTTCATCTTTTGGAGTCCTCATGGCTCTAACACCACACATTTAATTTCTCATGACAACATGTTCATGCTGTCTTCTATTTACCTGGGATCACTCAGCAAACTCTCAGTATTTCCCACACACCCCTTTCCTCAAAGACATTTGGCAGACACTACTATAAGCAGGGTTTCTGCTTGTGAAACATGCTACTACTTTCCTGCTCTTCAGAGAAACACCACATTGATGCCTAACCAAAGTTGCCTGGAGGCATGGTAATAGTTTCAAAGCTTGAAGGACAGTGGTGGATAGTTTAATGACATGAAGGGAAAGCTGATTGGGAGAGAAGTCCCTTTCCAGAGCAGAGGCTCCTAGTGAGAGTCAGGCTCTAGAGCAGGCAGTGGAGGCCACAGCCTGGCTGAGAAGGTCAGGGGCTCCATTCAGGGCTGAGTTATCCAGCTATAATGCTCTTTAAAAGACACTCATTTAAGACTGAGGACTGGATTTTGTAGCAGGTTGAGGAGGTCATGAACTTTAAAAAGGGTCTGAGAAAAGCAGCTGCCTCCTGATCTGGCTGGGTGGATGCCATGCTACATTAGAGAGTTATCATCGTGGAAAGGGGAAGGGACATCTGGGACGTCAACATGGCTTTTTATGGGAGTGAATCTGAGAATACCCATGTGCTAGGATGGACTTGGCCAGCACTGAAAGCATTTCAGAACTGAAGGTTGTTGTAGGGGAGCTTCTGGCTCAGACCCTGTGTTTCTGAGATGAGAGCCAAAAGGGCACAGTGACTTGTCTAAGGCCACACAGTAATTAAAAGTCTTGTCTAAGGTCACCAGTTATTTTTAATAAATCCCAATTAGTCTCTTTGTTTGCTTTGTTTACTGCTTCTTACTGTCTTAATCTCTTCCCTAGGAGCACATGACACTATTCTACAGCAGAGAAGGAAGATATGCTAATCCTAAGGGTCGCCCTCTCCAGCTTACATGGAGTTTGACACAAGTGATCAGAGCAGGCCTCATCCATCCGAAGGGAGGACTAAATGTGTGCTGTAGACTTGACTGTCTTCCTAGCATAAAACACCATGATCACTATCAGCAAGTCTTGGTGAGTGACTACGGTGTAGTGGGAGCTGTGTGGAAGCTAGGCTGTCTGTGTCTGTTTCACTGGAAGAGGCAAAATAACGCCATCACAAAATACACCTGGAGCAAGGCTGTTCAGTATCCCTCACCCCGCTTGGAGCTTTTCCCACTCCGGAGCCCTGCCACAGGCTGGGAGCTAAGACCCGAGTCTCACCTTCATCTTTTGGAGCCCGTCAACCTCAAAGAACAGGTCATTCTCATCGCTGTAATGAAAACAGATGTTGGTTAAGCTATGTCTCCTTATCAATACAGTGCAATAATGTGCTTACAAATCTTCACTGTTAATAAAGCCATGCATAGAACGATACTCAAAGCTTTCTGACTTCTGGCAAGTTCCATAGTGTTGTGCAAGCAAGAGTCTAGAAGCAGATTCTGGGTCAGGTATGTGGGTACTCTTGGTGCTCTCTGTTGGATTCTGACATGTAAATTCTAGGCCAGCAGAGATAGCTAAAAGCTGAGCACTAATCCCTTGCTTCCAAGCCAGACTTTGCAAACGGGGCTCCTGTACTGTCCATGTGGAAGCTGCATTTGTAGGAGTCCCTGTGGTGACAACACCTAGATCTCAAGGCTGAACTTGGTAGACAAATGAAGGCAATCAGCCTTTAGTGGGGGTTGATTTGAATTCTGATAGCCACCAAGGGAGGTGAGCTGGGGACAATCTGACCTCTGAGCATAGGTAGCCCTCCATTCCTGAAAGCAGAACCCTGAACACATGACCCCTCTCCGGCTCCCCACTGACCTGTGGAAAGCTATCATTTCACTGTCGAGTTCAGGAACAGTTGCCATGGCTGCTTCAGACACCTGTGTGAAAAGAGAAAGTGAGTGGCTACCTTAGTTCCCTCAGGGCTACCTTCATTTGTATTTCTCTCAGCGCAGTGAATGAATTGAGGAGCTGCTGTATGGGTCTAGAACAGTAGTTCTCAACCTTTCCCAGGAGTCACCTAAGACCATGGGAAAGCATAGATATTTACATTATGATTCATAACTGTAGCAAAATTACAGTTAGGAAGGAGCAATGAAGATACTTTTATGGTTGGAGGTCACCTCAACATGAGGGACTGTATTGAAGGGTCACAGCATTAGGAAGGCTGAGAACCACTGGTCTAGAAGAAAACAAGAGTTGAGCAAAACCCCAAACAGAAAAACTTTTTGAGGAGACAGTTAACTCTTAAAAGTCAGCTGCTATATAAACAGCATTCATTTCCAGAATGTTTCACAAGTCATAGCCTTACAACTGTATTTTTTAAATAAAAAAAGTACAGAGAAAGAGGGAGGGAGGGAGAGAGAGAGAGAGAGAGAGAGAGAGAGAGAGAGAGAGAGAGAGAGAGAGAAAGAGCCATTCTCCGAGGACTTAGCTGTGAGAGGTAAACCTTACTTGCACAGGAAGTCTGGCTAGAGAGGATTCTCAATCAGCCTGTTCAGCCTCGAGCCACCACGAGCTTTGTTGTCCACTAGGTCTCCCTCACTGTTTTATAGTCTTCAAAAGCAGAAGTGCAGAGCTGAGAAAGTTTCCCTTGGGTAATTGATTTCACAACCAAGTCAACAGTGCAGGGAGGGGGAGAAGGCTGATGGGAACTCCCAGGGGAAGAGGCTGCTGTTACCCTAAAGAAATAATTTCTAATCCCTGGAAGTTCAAGGGGTGGCAAACCATGACACATCTGCAAGTGTGTCATTGTGGAATCAGGTATTACTTTTCTCTGAACTACTGTGCAGATGGTGTCAATATTAAAATACTGGATTTTCCTGGGTTAGCTGAACGTTTTTTGGTTAGGGTGTCTGGAACAAAGAAGGCCACGCAGATGCACACCCACGAATGCATCCTCTCTCGCCTCCTTGTGTTTACGAGGCTTCCCTGTTGGAGTGTGCAACCGTGTGTGATGCTCTGCCAATAGTCCTCCTGGTCTGGCTCGAGAGTCCTGTGCTCTACTGCAGGAATTCTCCATCACTTGTGTTGACAGGGACGGTTGGAGAGACATTTACCCTTCCTTGCATGGGGCATGGGAAATGCAGCATGCAGGTGTCTGTGTAGGCTGGCCATAGGGTATGGGAACACTGGAGGCATGTTTATGCAGTTTAATAATGTCAGGGAGCCAGGTGCCCTAACCAGTCTCATGTTGAAATCATTTCAGTGCGTGGTGGTCAGTACAAATGAGCCTGGATTAAGCTGCATCATGCAAAGGAGGTGAGAGAGGCATATGAGGCTCATGCTCACAGTTCAGCTTGGAAAATACAGAGAGATTCATTGTCTAAAAAATGTTTTGACAAATGATGTGGAATATTAGTTTAAGACATGTTCCATTCGTTTACGCTATTGCATTCTTTTACGTTGCATTTGTTTAATTTTGTAAAGCTGTGTTTCTTTATATAAAACACCTGATTAGCCTAATAGAGCTGAATGGCCAATAGGTAGGCAGGAGGGAGGGATAGGCAGAGCTGCAAGGCAGAGAGAATAAATTGGAGGAGAAATCTAGGCTTGAGGGAAGAGCGCAGAGGGAGGAGGGAAAAGAGAAGGAGAGAAGGAGAGGATACCAAGGACCAGCCACACAGCCGGCTTGAAGTAAGGAAGAAAGAAATATAGAATAAATAAAGGTGAAAAGCCCAGAGGCAAAGCATAGCTAAAGAGAGACGGGGTAATTTAAGTTAGAAAAGCTGTTTAGAAACAAGCCAAGCTAAGGCTGGACATTCATAAGTATGAATAAGTCTCCATGTATTTATTTGGGAGCTGGGTGGTGGGCCCTCAAGAAGTAAGACAAACAAACAAAAAAGAACCATCCAAACAAACAAAAACCTGGCAAATTCTTGTTTCTTTAAGATCCTGGGGAGTTTGATAACACCAACATTACTCCACTGTTAACAGCAAAGAGCTTGCCCAGGGCTATTCTTCCTGCTTGGACTGAATGAATAACCAGGTTATATGAATGGTGCACACAGTCCCTTGGGCACAGCTATGGTACAATCGTCATTAGAGTCCTCAGTGGAAGCCTAACTTATTCTCGGATAAGAGTCTGTGAACTCTAGTAGAGCCAAGTCTAGCACAGTGTCTGGCACAGGAATTCAGGCAGGAGGGGCAACCCTGGGGGTGCGGGAATTTGACAGTGTGTTCATTTGAATGAGTTTGTCCCTACTGTGTTCTGGGTACCGAGCTTGTTCTTCAGCACTCAAGGAAAATGTGCAGAGAGAATTGGGAGCAGGGAGACACCAGGCTCTACTATAGAACAAAGTTTGCTCACCAAGCAGCCTTCTTTTGACCAATTTGGTTCCCAGTATCTTGATTTCAGGAAAGCAAACAGAAGAATCCCATCTTTGATCAACTATGTTTGATTTGAAATATGAAGGAAGTTTAAGGTCCCAGTTTCATCTGAGTTTGGTGAGAAATAATCAGCTCCCAGCACTGGGATCTTACAAGATTTATTTTCATTTATTTATTTTATTTATTATCTGGTAATCTGGCTAGGCTTGGTGGTACACTTTTAATCCCAGCACTCAGGAGGCAAGGTCAGGTAGATCTCTGTGAGTTCAAGGCCAGTCTGGTCTACAAAGTGAGTTCCAGGACAGCCAGGATTGTTACACAGAGAAACCGTGTCTCAACACCCCCACTCCCCCAAAAGAGAGGAGCCTGCTATTGCCAGGTAGTTGTAGTACATGTTGTTTTTAAATTTTCTTTTTATTCTGTGTGTCGTATCTTGATCCCCATTCACTTCCCTATCCCTTCATATCCATCCTCCACCCCCGCACCCACCCCCAATAAAACAAAATTTAAGAGAAAAAAGGGGGAAAACTAAAAATCTCATCATGGAAGCTGCAGTGTGCCACAGTGAATCACACAGTAAACCCATTTGTCCATACATCTTTCCTTGAGAGTGTTCACTGCAAAGCGTCTTTGGTCTGGTTTGAGGCCTCTGGTTTCCTCTACAGTGTCTGTGCTGGGCCCTCACTGGGGTTCTTCTTGGACATCCTGTTTTGTCCTGTGTTGTGGAGACCCTGCAGCTTTGGGTCTGCAGGATCAGTTCCTTCACATGCTCCAGCAGATCACAGATGGGTGGATGTTGGGGAAGGCCAAGTCATAAGCCTGGTCCTGGGCCTGGGCAGCTGCAGGGTTGTTCCACCAGCCACTTCTCCCCCGTTGTCACCACCAGGGTGAGCTCTCCAGCATTGCCCAGGCTAATCCACCTCTTGTAACAATGAGGGAGAGATGGGGCCTCAGGTGTTGATGGGTGGGGGATGGGGAGAAGGTCATCTTTCCTCCATCCATGCTGCCACATGTCAGATGAGTAATAGGGATAGCTGTCCCTTGCTCACAACATTGGGAACTGGATCATCCTCATCTCCAATCACCAGGTAGCTATGCTGTGCTGCCTAGGCCAGGGACAGGGTTTGCTTTTCTGAGTGTTGCAGCTGGTAAGGGGGAGGGTCAGATCTCTTGTCTGTTGCAGATGGTAAGGGGCAAGTGGCAAGGAGGTCATCTCTCCTCCCCCCCACTGCCACATGACAGTAATGGAAGCAGCTCTGCAAGCCTACAGTGTTGGAGCTGGTTCACCCACACCTCCCGCAACAGGGCTGACTCCATTGTGCTGCCCAGGGAAGGTGCAGGGCCTGCTTTCCTGAGTGTTGCAGCTGGTAGGACTCAGGGACAGCTCTCCCTTTATTATGTTCACAGGGCCAGATCTCCCAACTTCTGCAGGCATTGATGGGTTGGGTAGGGGAGAGGAAGAGGGCAACTCCCCCACCTATGCCGCCACAAGACAAATGAGAACAACTTTGGGCCTGACTCACTCATACCTCTGCTAACAGGGTTGGTTCTGTTGTGCTTCCCTGATGAAGGTGGCACATGATTTTAATCCCATTACTTAGGAGTCAGAGGCAGGCAGATTTCTGTAAGTTTGAAGTCATCCTAGTCTACAGTAATAGCCAGGGCTATACAGGAAAACCTTTCTTTGAAAAAAATTTTTTTAATTAAGATTTATAATCTGGTCCTATAGACAGTCCAGAGGTCCTGTGTGGGTCATCTGGTACATTTGTGTGTTCTGACTTCACAGGATCCGTATTTGAAATTAACTACGCCTGCTTGAAGGGACTGCTACTTTCCTCAGAGCCTCTGTTCAGGGCTGGAGGGTCAGATGATTTTGTGGGCTCTTCTGGCAGAGACTATTAGAGACACGTTTGGTCTGCTATAATGAGCTGGGCAGAGCCGGGGAGGGTGGAAGCCAGGACAGGATAGAAGGTTTCCGGGGGCCTGAGTATCAGCTCCCAGTCCCTGCTCCCTGGGTGGTTTGTTAGGAATCTTGAACCCTATCTAGTTACAGCATCTTCCCCACCATCTTCTAGTTATAACATTCCAAAACTTGAGCCTGACATCGGAGAGGAGCCCCAGTGATTGGTAGGATCTAGTGGGACCATACAGATGAAAACAGGTTGCCATTTAAAAGTGACTAACAGATGAAGAAACTGAGCTGAGGAGACGGGTGGTGGTTTGTCCTGTGCAATTCAGAGGTTGAAGATTCTTTTTCTTCTACAGGGAAAATGTGGAACCATGGGGCAATGCCTTTGGTACTCTACTATTCTGTCATACCTCATCCTGGCCTTGCTGCTTGCACACCAAGCCTCCTCCCCTTGGCGTATAGAGCAGGCAAGTTGCACAATATGTGTATCAAACCCTGTCTCTCAGGCCACACTTCCTTCTGGTCTTCAATGAGTAGAAAGTAACTCACTATAGGAATTGTTGAACTGGGGGTGTGTGGTATAGTGATGACGGCGTCGATGACAGTGTAGAAGGAAATGAACGAAGCAAAAGAAGAAGTTGGCAATGCCAGGACGGCAGTGGGTGCTCTAGCTTTTGGGGAATTCTTCAGCTTTTGACTCACTCAGCCCTTGTCAGCTGTAAGATTCCCTCTACCCTGGCATCCCATGCCACCAAGATGGGGGCAGGCATTTCTTCAAAGCAGCGAGTGCCTTGGCACCTGTCCTGGTTATTTTTCTATTGCTGTAATAAATATGAATGAATACACTCTGCAGCCCAGTCTGGCCTCAAAGCCATGGCAATCCTCCTGCCTTTGTCTTCCAAGGGCTGAGATTACAGGCATAAACTCCCACGCCCATTGATGTGTGTGCTCTACATGGGATTCTTCTTTCTTTGTTTAGCCTTTTGATCAGGATAGAGCTAAGCAGTGACTGTGCCCTTTCCCCAGACCTTGCCTCATTCTGGGAGTTGCTGTCTTAGCACAGCTCTTGGGAGTCTGTTGTTTTCCTCTCATCCTCTCTGTACTGGCTGGAGTCATAAGCGAGGAGGAAGCCTCAGTTGATAAAATGCCTCCATAAGATGTAGCTGTAGGCAAGACTGGAGGGCGTTTTATCAATTGGAGATTTATAGGCGAGGGCCCAACACATTAAGGGTAGTGCTATCCCTGGGCAGGTGGTCCTGGATTCTATAAGAAAGTAGATTGAAAAAGCCATGAGGATCAA